AGAAGCCACGTTTACAACAACCTTGCCTCCAACCACACCTGCTTGTTGGCGTGATTACGCCCCAACGGCATTTGCCCGCGAAACGATTGGTTGGCTCTTCTCACGCCAACTAGTCTCCGTATTGTTCTCGGCACACACACACACAAACCCTCTGAAGCTGGTCCCTCTGAAGCTCCATCAATGCTCGGCAAACCGAAACTATCCTGCCTCGAATAGGCGGTGCTTCTGCCGACAAGAAGAAACGGGTGCATCGCGAAAGTTAGTGTTTGGATCAGGCTCGACATGACTGCCAGCCGAAAATGTGTGCGCATTCGCGAGGGAAGAAGATGACAGGTTGCGAGTACAAATTGGGTGTGTGTGCACGGTGGGTGTGCATCAGTGCCCGGATGTGGATTCAAGTCCGTGACCACGTCACAATCTAACCAGCAATTTATCAACCAACCAACCAGCCAACCAACCATAAAGTAAACTAAACGTCAAATAACAGATGAACCAAATTGTCAAACCACCAAAGAAGCAGACAATGCACAGAACAACATATACACAATCTCAAAGTGCAACCAACCAACCAATTCACCATTAAATAAACAAAAGTTCAAACAGCAGACACAGCAAAATGTCTGGCAACGAGAGAAACATACCATACACAGATCCACACATACACAATCTCGTAGTAGAGCCAACCGTCCAAGCAATTAGTCAAATAGTCAACCAAAGAAACTAACAAATGATCGTCAAACCAACGAACCATGAAATAAATCAACCTTCATACAACAAATGCTCTAGATTTTTCGGTCGACAAAAATAATAAAGGATACACAGTAGAAAAGATACATAATCGCAAAGTAAAACCAACTGTCCAAGCAATCAGTCAAACAGTCAACCAAAGCAGCTAACAAATTATCGACCAACCAACCAACCAACCATGAAATAAACTAAAATTCAATAAATAATTGCATTATATAGTTTGGCTACCAAATAAAGGATTGACACACAGAACAACACATACGCAATCGCAGAGGACAACCAACCGTCTAAGTAATCAGTCAAACTGTCAACCAAAACAGCTCCCAAATTATCGACCACCCGAACAATCAGCCAACCATGAAATAAACTAAACTTCAATCAATAATTGCATCATATAGTTTGGCTACCAAAGAAAGTAGTGGCACACACAACAACACATACACAATCTCAAAGGGCAACCAATCGTCCAAGAAATCAGTCAAACTGTCAACCAGAAGAGATACCAAATCATCGACCAACCAAACAACCAGCCAACCATGAAATAAACAAAACTTCAATCAATAATTGCATCATATAGTTTGGTTACCAAAGAAAGGAGTGACACACAGAACAACACATACACAACCTCAGAGGACAACCAACCGTTTAAGCAATCGGTCAAACTGTCAACTAAAAGAGATACCAAATTATCGACCAACCGACCAACCAACCAAGCAATCAAATATTCAAGCAAGTAAGCAATCAATCAATCAATCAATCAATCAATCAATCAATCAATCAATCAATCAATCAATCAATCAATCAATCAATCATGCTACCAATGAATGAAAGAACCTCTTGACTTGGTGTACATCCAACCTAGAGAGTAGCTCATAGACCAGTCAGTCAGGCAAGTCAGTAACCGGCACCCAGTTTGGCCAATCAATCAACTGAGTAAGCAGCCAACCTTCAAACAATCCGTCAATTGACCGGCGAACGCGAAACCTCAAATTCGGCCAACTTGCACACCAATCAACATCGAACCAACTGACCAAGCTGCCAGCACCGGGTGAGATTCGGTTGAGCTGGCCAATGGTTTCCCGACACGGCAACGCCGAGCTAGACCCGGTGCCAGCCGGTTCAGTGGAGGCTTGGCCATTCGGACGTCCAATCGAGTCAGGCAAAGGCGTGCCGTGGGATAGGACAGGATGGGACGCGATGGGATGGGATGCAACGAGGCAGCAGGGAAGAGGGTTAGCCCTGGCCTACACGGGATTAAGCAAGCTTGGCCAGCTGAAAACTGGGCCACGCAATGCAAAAGCCGGCCAGTTATTGACCCGTTTCTTGGCCAATCACCAGCGAGTCTGTCAGCTGCTAGATTCTGATTGGTGCCCTTGAGACATGGCCTTCCAGCCAAAACACCAACTAGAAGATGGAAATAAAAAAGGATGCGACACTCAAATAGACAGCTTGCAGTGGATGCGGTCACGTGCTCATGTGAGGTCTCTCCTCTTTCTCTTTCTCTCTCATTCCCTCTCGTTCTCTCTGGCTCTCTCGCTCTCTGGCTGTGTTTACTTCACCCTGTCGAGCCGAACCGTGCCGCGCCCTTCTCCGCCCTGACGTGTCTATTTGTGTCGTCTGTCGCCTGTCGCCTGTCGTCTGTCGTCTATCGTCTGTCGTCTGTCGTTTGTCGTTTGTCATCTGTTGTGCACAGTGCGACGTGTTGTGTCGTGCCGCGTATTCGTCATTTCCTGTCCACTTCGCCTTGCGACGACGACCAGTCTCAACTGGGCTCAGGCGATAGGCCTCATGTCGCCGGAGCGCCGAAATGCTGCGATGCGGCGTCGAAGCGACGCCAGCCCCTCCAGACCCCAAGCAACCGCCTCCACATCCGCCCCCGCACCAACCTCCGCCCATGTCCCTGAACCAGGCTAGGTCTGACGGCGTTTGGGGGTCCGCGACCTCGTCGGCCGGGCCCTACCTGCGACCACAGGCGACGCCGCCTGTCTTCGCCTGCCCCAACCTCAACGTGTACGTGGTGGGCGCCGTGGGACACCCGAAGGCGTCGGTCGTCCGCGTCGTCCACCTCTCGGACACTCGCGGCGCCCACGAGGCCTACGCCG